TTTTTTTTTTTTTTTTTTTTGTATTTTTAACTAACAATATACGTGGTGTGCTTTGTTATTTGTTAATGCTCTGATCTTCTGAATTTGATGGGTACAGTTCTGGATAGTAATGAAAAGCTATTTTATATGGGGAAGTTTTTGAACAAAACTTAATAGTTGGTTCTGACACAGATTAAACAAAGTTTCATTCCTTTGTGAGGCAGGATTCATCCTTGCTATTCATAGTGTTGAGCAAAATCTGAAATGTAACTTATTTAAAGATCAGCATATAGATCTTTGGTAATCAACGTGTAAGAATGAATACTTTGCTTTGGAGGAACTAATTGCTATTTACTCAAAGCTTGTTATCAAAGTAGTTTTGTTTCATTCAAGTTTAAATAATAAAATATCAAAGATATCCATTGTCTGGTTTTCTGTCATTTCTATTTTTCTGGTGCCTCGATTTCCTAACCCAAATCTTCTCCCCTCCCACCCATCCAGGCTTGCTCCATTGCTTGTGCTGGAGTGCAATGGCATCATCATAGTTCACTGCAACCTCAACTCCTAGGCTCAAGCAATGCTCCTGTGTCAGCCTCCTGAGTAGCTAGGACTGTAGGAATGTACTACCATGACTAACTAATTTTTCTTTTTCCTTTTTTTTTTTTTGCAGTTTTTGGGCAGGGCTGAGTTTGAACCCACCACCTCTGGCATATGGGGCTGGTGCCCTACTCCTTTGAGCCACAGGCGCTTCCTCACTAATTTTTCTGTTTTTAGGAGAGATGGGGTCTCCCTCTTGCTCAGGCTGGTCTCAGACTCCTAACCTGGTGCAGTCCTTCCTCGTTTACCTCCCGTAATGTGAAGATTTCAGGAGTAATCCACTGCACTCGGCCCATGTTTTCCTTCTGCTGACGGATGCTCTTACATACAACTCTATCTCTGCCTCTCTTTCATACACATGCATACAGGCAACAACTGGGGCAAAATTTCCCGGTTAATATTTAGGCGAAGACCTCTTAATTAAAATGTTTACCACCATGATGCTGTTATCATTAGTATTTTGTGATAAGTCCATAAAACTCATTTAAAGGGCCAGGTAACACATATACAGAACTAGTCTCTCCCCTGAAACTTATCTCAAGTGGAAAATATATTTCTAGTAGGAGGTTTTTGTGATGGTGTTTCTCTTGATTATGATAACTTTGAGGTAAGCAGACTCATCAGGCTGTTCTTTAAGTCAGTACTGCTTGGGTTTATGTACAGGTAATTTGTTTTATATAAACCTATTTTTAGCAATTTCAGATTTTTCGAATTTGTAGAATATTGTAGAATGTCTGAAATCTGATTGTTTAAGTTTATGTTTAAACCTAGCCTATATGTTAGGTTAGATCATGTTATCAGCTATTGAGCAGTATAAGAAACCAGACCTACTGTATTTGATATAATACTTTTACTCAAAAAGAAATAAGGTGCCTGCAACTCACTGTACAGTGTGGGGAAAATATAAGCATGAAGAAACTTGACGTGAACCCAGAAGAAAACAAATAGTGGACTCTGAAAGAGACACCTATACCTTTATACCTTCAGACAGGAACTAAGAAGTTACTAAAAATTTATTTGCGCTTTTAACCTCTGGACTTTTTGAAATCAGTTCTTAAAAATGAAATTTGGGGGGGGGCAGTGCCTGTGGCTCAGTGAGTAGGGTGTTGGCTCCATATACTGAGGGTGGTGGGTTCAAACCCAGCCCTGGCCAAACTGCAACAAAAAAGTATCTGGGCATTGTGGCGGGTGCCTGTAGTCCCAGCTACTCGGGAGGCTGAGGCAAGAGAATCACCTAAGCCCAAGAGCTGGAGGTTGCTGTGAACTGTGATGTCACAGCACTCCACCGAGGGTGACAAAGTGAGACTCTGTCTCTAAAAAACAAAAAAAGTGAAATTTGGGCGGCACCTGTGGCTCAGTGAGTAGGGCGCCAACCCCATATACCAAGGGGGCGGGTTCAAACCCTGCCCCAACCACACTGCAACCAAAAAATAGCCAGGCATTGTGACAGACACCTGTAATCCCAGCTACTTGGGGAGGCTGAGGCAGGGGAATCGCCTAAGCCCAGGAGCTGGAGGTTGCTTTGAGCTGTGTGATGCCATGCACCAACGGCAATAAAGTGAGACTCGGTTTCTACAAAAAAAAAGTGAAATTTACTTTTCATCATTTTATTTGATGACCTGAGTCTTCTACACCATGCTTGTTTTTGTTTTTTTCTTTGAGACAGCTGTCACCCTGGATAGAGTGCTGTGACATCACAACTCACAGCAACCTCCAACTCCTGGGGTCAGGCGATTCTCCTGCCTCTGCCTCCCAAGTAGCTGAGACTACAGGCGCCTGCCACAACTCCTGGCGATTTTTTGGTTGCAGCTGTCATTGTTTGGCATGCCTGGGCTGGATTCTAACCCACCAGCTCAGGTGTATGTGACTGGTGCCTTAGCCACTTAAACCACAGGCGCCGAGCCCATGCTTGTTTTTATAAAACAAAGGATATCTAATATAAAATAAATTGGATGGTTTAGAGATTCCATATAAACAATTGATCAGTCTCATTTACTGTCATCAGAAAATAATGGCTGGAGGCTGAGGCTGGTAGATCTGACCCAAAGCAAGATCCCCCTCAGTATGGTACTCTATCCAGGGTGATAGAGGGAGACTTTGTCTCAACAAAAAAGAAAAAAACATTGAATGAAGGCTGTCCTCAGCTGTTTCTTTTTTTAAATTTCAGATTAATATGAGGGTATAAACCATTAGGTCACAATGTTTACATTTGTTAAGCAGAGTCACTATTATAGTTGTATCCCTCACCTAGGAGGTTTGCCATTAGGGCCCATTAGGTGAGAATTAGCTATTTCTTTTCTTTTCGTTTGTTCTTTTTTTTTTTGAGACAATCTCAGTATATTGCCCTCTGTAGAGTGCGTGGGTGTCATGGCTCACAGCAACCTCAAACTCTTGGGTTTAAGCGATTCTCTTGCCTCAGCCTCCTAAATAGCTGGGACTACAGGCACCTGCCACAACACATGGCTTTTTGTGTTGTTTTTGCAGTTATTGTTGTTTAGCTGGCCCAGGCCAGGTTCATACCTGCCAGCCTCGGTATATGTGGCCGGTGCCATAACCACTGTGCCAAGCTGAGTCAGCTATTTTTTAAATAGCTAAAATCATTTGAAAAAGAAAGTAAACTTTTCTACTTGTTCAATTTATCATGTAGGCTTAAAATGTCATGTGCCTCTAACACCTAACATGATAGGTAATAAAAGATGCTTAATAAGAACTTAAAGAATGGGTAAATTAATTGTATTCTTTTAAGGTTAAAAACGACAACTGACGCCAACCATGAAAGATCCAAGTCGCAGCAGTACTAGCCCAAGCATCATCAATGAAGATGTGATTATTAACGGTCATTCTCATGAAGATGACAATCCATTTGCAGAGTACATGTGGATGGAAAATGAAGAAGAATTCAACAGACAAGTTAGTTTTGTGTCCAAACATTTTATTTTTTAGTCCATTACAGCCTTCAATACTGATTATACTTGCCCCTGAAATGTGTTTTTATCTGGCCCTGTATATGAGACACGAAATTTATGTGCCACCAATCCTACTTTATTTGGCTGTGGATTACTGCCAGGCTTAGCTGCTTGCTGAAATAATTTGGGGAGCTTGTTTCAGGGTCTCATCTTGGGCACTCTGATTCAGGAAAGCTAGGGTGGAACTTGGGAAACTGTTTCTTTGAGACAGAGTCTCACTATGTCACCCTGGGTAGAGTGCTGTGGCCTCACAGCTCACAGCAACCTCAGACACTTGGGCTTAAGCGATTCTCTTGTCTGATTCTCCCAAGTAACTGAGACAATAGATGCCTACTGCAATGCCCGGCCATTTCTTTTCTTTTCTTTTTTGTAGTTGTCATTGTTTGGCAGGCCCAGGCTGGATTTGAACCTGCTACCTCCTACTCTAGCCGCTGAGCTACAGGCGCCAAGCCTTGGGAAACTTTTTAAATCTTCTAGGTGATTCCTATGAGCAATCAGATTTGGAAACCATTGCCTTACACTAATCAGATTGCTGTGTTGCAGCAAAAATTAAGAGAATTCAGGAATCAGGAGTCTGTGGACCCAGAGGCGGTGGTATGGAATTAGTTACTGTTTTCCAACTGAAGTCTTTAGTCTGATTAGCCTGAAAAATCTGGTACCAGTCTTCAGAAGACTATACATTGATAAATGTTGTTTTTTATTCCCCTCTTTCTGGCAATTGTTCCCATTTTTTTTCTAGTTTCTCCCTAGTCATGGCTTTGGTAATTAGGTAGCCAGTTTGATTTCTCTATATCCAATAATGGGTGTTCATGAGTAAAAACAGCTTAGTCTTATTTCAGTGAGCTTCAGTTGGGTGTTGGGGGGGGGCAGGGTTGTTTGCTCATTTTTAATTAGCCAATACGCCCCTTGAGGTTTTGTTTTAGTCATTTTGGGTTAGATTAGGGTTCATATAGTTTTAAAGTACTACAGATAATTTTGATATGTGTTCCTTGAAGAGAATACTTATTTGTTGCTACTTCCTTGCTATCCACAGTAGTGAAAATACAGCACTAATATAAGACTAAAGACATGAGAAAACCCTGAACAGATGGGAAGCAGTTTTGTCTTTACTTAGCACAGAAACAGAGGGGAGACAGTATGACATTGTTTTTTTGGTTTTTTTTTGGCTGGGGCTGGGTTTGAACCTGCCACCTCCAGCATATGGGGCCTGGCGCCCTACCCTTTTGAGCCTCAGGCACCGTCCCCCCTTTTTTTGAGACAGAGTCTTTCTTTCTTGCCTCTGGTAGAGTCCCAAAGCATCATAGCTCACAGCAGCCTCAAACTCCTGGGCTTAAGCCAGGGATCCTCAAACTTTTTAAACAGGGCCAGTTCACTGTCCTTCAGACCGTTGGAGGGCCAGACTGTGGGCCCCTGGACGAGTCGGCTGCTTAGCAGGACAGGCAGCGGCAGCAAAATGACCCAGCGGACCAGGTAAATGTCCTTGGCGGGCTGTATGAGGACTCCTGGCTTAAGCGATCCCCTTGCCTCAGCTTCTTGAGTAGCTGGGATTACAGGTGCCTGCCACAACGCCCAGCTATTTTGGGGGGGGG